GTTGCCCAAGTTGTACAGCTGAGCTTGATCGGGATATCAACGGTGCTCGCAATATACTACTTCGCTATCTTACCATTCATCTGAAGAGCCGGTTTATGCCGGCGCTGGGACCTACCCCCTGGGATCTTCATGATTCTTGCAGAACATGTATATTTCCTTATTGGGCATGATCAGAAATGTGATGTTTGATTAGGGTTTAATTGTATGATGACATTGTACTTTTGGATGTTGGTCGCTATTCACGTCTACTGAATCATATTCAATAAACAATGCTTTATAGTAACGTTGTTTTTGCATAGAGCATTACGCCTTGGATTCAAATCTTAGTTTGTTGATTACAAGATATTTTTTGCTAACCAAACCAGTTATATCGGTATAAAAAGGTTTGACTGTACATAATACGATAATAATACCGTTCAAGACATGTGCACACTAGAGCTAGTCTTAACATTATCTACGAAAGTGCTTCAGAGATCAATAAAGAATATATAAATAACTAGGGATTAATCGAATATATGTATAATGGAAGAGTAATGGGTGTGTAGTGGACAGAGAGGATCTACTATCTAATATTTCATTCTAATAATAACCTCCATACGGACTGGCAGGTCAATTCCCGATTATCGTGTTTCAGAAACAAGAATATTGATCTACCGGTTAAGGCATACCATTCCAACGAATTGTACACAGTATTGTAAGTCGCCGCATCTGAATAATCTGCGGATTACAACTTTATAGTATCAATCGCATTTGCTCTCATCAATCCTTGTCAATAATTTTATTATTAAAATCATTCACGAGGAATTGTAGTAAGTAAATATGCAAAACACTATGTTAAGGAAGTCCAATAATTCGCCATAAAACTTTCGGTTGAGTATCTTGTACAATCGAAATAGAGGTCAATGCACATGAGAGATTATGCTTCGAGAGACCTTTGACTGCAAGATGCCGAATATTTCTTATATAATGTTCAGATTTTCTAGGCTCACAGCATAAATCGTTGGCTGCGGATGTTTATTGTTTTTCATGGCATGGTTTCAACAGTTTTCGCATCCCTTCTCGCCACGATTCTTCGGGTGATATAAACAATGTGTAATTTTACATAAACCACATGTATCAATATATGACAAGCGGATAATTTCTGATAAGCTTATTGTCGCTTAGACAATACCACTGACGCCAGTGCCACCAGTGATTGAACTCGAAGCGTGTGGTTGATGAGTTACTGCAGCAATGCCTGAAATACCACAAATAAATGTCATTACGCCGAAGGTATTATTCTGAAGGCGTCTTATAAACACTCACCGTAAAATATTCCAGCAGCCGTCAAAGTAATGGCTGGGGCGATGAGAACAAACGTTCTGATGAGAAATAGCCACAATATAGTAGCACATCTATTAATGGAACATAATAATGAATATGATCCGAATCGATTTGTACATAATCAAATGACAGCCAGCAGACATCACTGCTAATACCGGGTTTGTACGTACACAAGATATCCAACGGCACGAACGTAATGATTCTTAAATTTCTTAATAAATGAATCACTATAATGGCAACATTAGTTAAGTTGTCCGTCAAATACACCAAATTATGTGGCTCATAATTCCACAGAAACTTACAATCTTGAACTCGTTGGGCAAATCTTTAGAAATATTGGAACTTCTACAAACACGAGAATAAACGCAATCACCCTGACATATCAGGAGATAGATTAATAAATACATTTCGCCAGTTATCTCTTATTTTTTCTGTAAAAAATTACCATGCAATCACTGCAAAAACAGTGGCAACACTGAAAGTAGTAAACGCCAGAATGCCAAAGAGAACCAACACTACAAAGATAGTTAAGACAACGTCAGAACTCAAAACCAGTTAACAAAGCGCCAACAGCAGAATCACTCACATAGTATGGAAAGAAGTCCTGCCCTATATCATTAGAAAGAGTATATGACAGGTACGTAAATTAAACCGCCTAATAAAACAATCTTACGCAACACCAAATGTAAACCGCACTCTCACCTACCATTGAGCATATATAGAAAAGTTCCGAGACCTAAATTCCTCAACAATACCCATGCTAGCCGCTTGATTGTGTATTTGAAATTGAAACGACGTGTCACTACTGCAAAGACAGTCTTGGTTTTTTACAATCAAGCTTCTGACAGTTGGGAGAGGAAGGCTTGGCTATGTGGCTGATATTATAAGCGTGGCTTAGTATACACGTGACATTGAAGAATTCAATAGTTAATTTAATTGTTCGTCTTATCCCTAGTGTTAGACCTCGAAAACTCTCTTTCAATCAGCTTCGTGACCTTGGTCAACTTGTCTCGAGTAACCCATACTCTACCTGCCAAACTTGCAAATATATTATCCCGATCTTAATATCACAAGTCGTACAGTGCTGAACTCCACAATTGCACGTGTGCCTTTTCTTACAAGAAGTACCGTATGACGTTTGCTACAAAAAATATAGAAAACAAATTGCCGATTTTTTCTGAGGCCGCTATATACAGTAACGTGCAAAAGTATCCTACCGGCTGTAATTCAGGACAGGAATAATCAAACGCTTTGAGAATTTTCTTGCATATAATGTATAACAAACCCTGGTTATGTGTAAAATTTCAGATCGATCGGATGCCTACAGCAAATTTTACAAACCGTTAAAAACATATGAAACCATATAAAGCTGTATGACGTTTATTAGGGACATAAATTTTAAAAATCCATATCTCCACATGTTTGTAATCGATTTTTTTTGTATTGTTTGCTAAATTTTACGTTCTCTATGTATATTACTCAAAATTAGGATGAAACTGTTACTATATTTGGCAATAATCGTGTATGATATCATCAATTATCATCAAGTCACATAATTATTTGCAATTTTTTACGCGCGCGGTAATTCGTTCAACAATCGTTTAAACGCATGCTGATGGTCTAGGAAAACAAATAATTACAAAATTCGGTTGGGAAGGGGTCGAGATATAAAATTTTGAATTTTTATGGCTAAATTTGAGTGTGGGTATAAATATATCCCGAGTTAAAATATTTAATGTTTGAAACTTTTGCTGTAAACATCCGATCGATCTGAAATTTTACACATAATCAGAGTTTGTTCTACACTATATGCAGGAAATTCTCAAAGAGTTTGATTATTCCTCACAACCGATAGGATACTTTTGCACGTTACTGTAAATGTTTAGAATATCCAAAGGGTTTATTATAAACATGGTAAACAACCTCCTCACAAAGCTATGGTGAAAAAAGCACATATATTTAATTTGGCTTATACGTCCGAGGTTTTTTAACAATGGAGACGCTTTATGCAGTTGTCAAGAAAAATATGTCAATCTATATCGTCCTCGCGATTTTGTTGTTTTCGATCCGAAAAAATATATCTCCAGCTCCTACCCCAATTCCATAATCAATTTCAGAAAACAAGATATTTTGGCATTAAGTAACGAAATAAACCAACTGAATCAGAATGAAAGGTCGAAGTTCGAAGTATGGTTTGTGTACAACTAAATTTATGTGATTTATTAATAGAGGAAATTTATTCAAACCCGCATTATCCTCTATTCCATATTAGGGCAAGCTTTCCGTGTAAAATCGAAACTCTCTGGGTCGAATTTACGGCCATATTTAACGAGAGAAGAAAAAGAGAAAAACGTTCTTCCACGAAAATGTACAGTGTCCTGTCCGAAGAAATAAATCTCAGCCCATCCACACTCGCAAAATTCTACCAGCATCAAAATCTCCACAACGCACCTCATTGGATAAAATCGAAGCTTGGCTCGATAAACGAAATCAGAAAAAAGATAGCTCCGCTGTAATTAGCAGTGGGAGCAGAACCAATTTTTCTAGTACACAGTGAACCTGGATATAACGAAGTTTGGATATAACGAAAACCTGGATATAGCGATGCTTTTTTTTTTGATGTTTCGAATTTTGTCTAGTAAAATTTCCTGGATACACAGTGAAACCGGATATAACGAAGAAGACCGTGCAGACACTTTTCTTCGTTATATCGAGGGATTCGTTATATCC